CTCAAAATCTTTGCTCTTGAACACGTTAGAGAGGTCTTTTGCAGTAGATTTGCCAAATGTAATTTGTCATTTGATTTCTTGACTGCTAATTCCATGAGGTGATTGTGGATCCAAGTAAAATAAAGTAACAGAAACCCTTATTTAAAAACAAAACAAAACATCAAACACATCCTCCATCGAGATCTATATACTTCTGAAGGCACTGTTTCCATCTCTCTAACCTTGGTGTGGTGCTGTGGTTAATGTGCTAGACTGCAAAGCCGTTTGAACTACAAGGTTGGCAGTTCAAGCTCAGCAGCTGTTCCTCGGAAACTCTGTACAGGGTGGCTATGGGTCGGAACTAACTCGAGGGCACTTAATAACAACAATAACAACCCTTCCCAGGAGAATTCTGAGCTCTTTGATTTACACCACATCAAAATGGCAGTTTTGATACCCTCGAGGGACTCAAATCAGGTTCCTTTTAGATGTTCATTGAGTTTGGGGAACTAAAAGCAGTCTGAAGGAGTCAGATCAGGGCTGTTGGGTGGATGGGGTTACAGTTGCCCAGTGAAATTCTTATAGGACAGCCCTTTACTACCCTCAAAGAATGGGCAGGTGCCCTCTCATAATAGAAAAAAAAATCCTCGGTGCAACTTTTCTGGTCTTTTACTACCCAATTCAGTTTTTAAGTTTTCTTAAAATATCTTCCTAACAAGCCTCGAGATCATCCTGTGTCCTTTAAGAAAATCTATCGAGATTTTCTATCAAAACTCCCAGAAGCAGTCATTATAACCTTCTGAGCTGAACTTTTTGCCTTGAATTTAACTGGCCCAGCAGATTCCCTTGGAAATCACTGCTCTGATTCGACCTTTTTCTCTTTTTTGAAGGCACCCTATCAAGACTAGGACAATGTATTACTGAGAGAACTTGTCTCTGGCCATCCACTGACCACAAAGACATGTTTAAACACATTTTATTTGGAATAAACTTATGCGTGATGAAACGGAAGCTTCATACCAATACTTTTTGACTTACCCTTACATTGATATATAATATTTTCACAAGCTTCCTGTTTGTGGAAGTTTAAAGAATATGAAAACAATCTTACAGCTTTTTATAATTGACAATTGATTCATCTCCATTTCCTATGGCCTCCCTAACCAGGTGAAGATCACATTTGACAGATGAAGATACTAGACTGACCCATGCCCCACCATCCCACCCCATCCTGCCCTTGAACCCAGAGCCAGGGATCAGAATGGGCAGAACTTTACTCCTCTGGTCTTCCTGCTCTCCTCATACCTTCCCAGGCAAAGGCCATGTTTAGGAGGGAGATCAGAGTGGAATCCTGGGAAAAATAATGATAATAATACTCATACAGCACTAACCCTTAACAGTCCCTGTTCCAAGTACTTTATGTGTGACAGTCCATTGAATCCTCATAGAAACTATTGTTATTCGGCTGATATTACAGATTAAGCAACTGGGGTGCACAGAAGGCAGTTAGTAAGCAGGGAGCTTACGGCAGATCCAGGGTTGGATGCAGACATCTTGGCCTGACCCTGCTGTGTACTACCTGGGCTGTGGGCAGGGGAGATGTGTCAAGATCAAATGGAGGCCAGAAGATTAACCTGTGATTGGACCTCCTTCTCCTTCTACGGAAAGCTGAGAGGCTCAGGGTTGGGGAACAGCTTACCCTCCACAATGAATGCACCAATAGGGGTGCACCAACCTACCCCATTCCAGTGGGATGAAGCAGGGGCGTGGGTGGACAGACTGCCCAGAGAATGTCCACAACACCCTGCTGGAACTTTGACCTTGAGCCGCTCACAGCCTGGCAGGCAAGTCAGAGATGGCATCACCAAATTTAGTGAATTTCTGTAGATGTTTGTGCAAAGTACTGCCTCTCAAGTCCCCTCTCTTCCTCCTCACCCTCTGTTCAGGGCTCAGACACTGGCCCACTGCCAACCTGACATGCCTTCCTTCCTGTCCTTCCTCCACCATCTTAGCTTACCCCAGATACTACTTCCCCTAGGAAGCCTTCTTGGACTCCCAGGCTGGGAATAAGCCTCTTCCCTGGGATCCTGGGAGTCCCTGGGTGGCACAAATGGTTAAGTGCTTGGCTGCCAACCCAAAGATTGCTGGTTCAAGGCTGCCTAAGGGCCCCATGGGAAAAAGACCTGGGGAGCTACCGGGTTGTGGAATACAGTTCTACTCTGACCCACATGGGGCCACCATGAGTTGGAGACGACTTGATGGCAGCTAGTTTTGGTTCTGGACTCCTAGGGACCTGCTGGGATTGCTTGCCTTGGCCTTGTAGTGACTGACTGTAAGCTCCCTGGAGACAGGACCGAGGGAAGGATTCCTTGTCCCGGTTCCTCAGCACCAAGGATGTGGACAGTGACTTCTTCACAGGCTGCCCTTGACCATGGTGATCCTCCTGGCACAGATAGTGATCTCAAAGCAGTGTAGGTGATGATCAAGAGCCCAGAGTCTATAGGTCTGTGTTCAAATCCCATTTCCCCTAGCCTTGTCTGGATGCTTCCAGCAAGGGTCTTCATCTCCCTAAGCCTTCCCGTACCCCTTTCCTGGGATTAAAATGAAATAATCGATTCTAAGTTCTGAGCACAGCCCCTGGCAAATGGAAGTGTTCAGTGAAGGTTACCCATTTCTGTCATTTCCAGCAGTCATGTGTCCTTCAGTGAGCATTCTCACCTTCTGGCTGCATTCCAGCATCCCAGGAAATCCTCTGGGACCTCTCATGGGGCACATTTGGAATGTTCTTTCATCTTACAGACTGGGGCGTTACCTGAATTTAATACAGTCTGAACCCCTTGAACTCAGTGGAAATTTCCAAATGGCTTTGATTGAATAAACACAGAAGATGATTTTTATGTAATAAAATATAACCTCGAGCCTATTAAGGCCCCGTAATGAATTTACGACACAAAGTTAGTTAAGTGTTCAGCTGCTATCAGAAAATGTGGCATTTTGAACAAACCCAGTTGTTCCATGGAAAAAAGACCTGGTTAATCTGCTCCTGTCAAGATTACAACCAATGATGAAAGGAGATGCTGATAGGTTTCTTGTAATACAATAATGAATAATTGTTATCAGGACTGACTGTGAGGGTTAAAAATGTAAAGGTAGACATTTTGTAGCAAGGAGAGGAGTAATTAACTTCGCGCTCTAGGAGCGGAGGTCCCTGGGACCATCAATGGAAAAGAGCAGAGAGCTGGGACCCAACCAAGAGAAGCAGTGACACCAGAGATGGAGGCAGAGACTATGACGTGGAGAGATGAAGCAGCTGGAGACTTTAGACCCAGAAAGGGAGAGGGGCTGTGTGCTGACGACTGGTGGACAGGCTTTCAGGGTATACCCTCTTGTTGGTTATGGAGGGGATTGTAACCATGGCAATGAAACGATATATGATAGGATGAATGTAACACTCATGTTCTCCCACTTAAACTATCACATAATTCACAATAAAACATTAAAAAACAAAAAGATTACAGCCAAGACAACTTGATGGGCCGTGCTACTCTGTTACTTTGTTGTTGTTGTTGTTGTCAAGTACCGTGGAGTAGGTTCCACCCTGCACAGAGTTTCCGAGGCTGCAAATCTTGACAGGAGCAGAAAGCCTCATCTTTCTCCTGTGGAACAGCTGGTAGTTTTGAACTGCCAACCTTGAGGTAACAACTACACTACCAGAGCTCCTTACTCTGTTACTTTGGGTCACAATTCATTGAAATCCACTCAATGGCACCCAACAACACAGTGAATTTATGGGTTACAAAGTTGTCGTTAGGTACTGTTAAGTCAGTCCCCATTCATAAGGACACTATGCAAAACAGAACAGAGCACTTTCTGGTTTAGCACCCTTCTCATAATCTCCTGATTACGTGTGAGCCTATTGCTGCAGCCACTGTGTGCCTGTTCATCTCATGGGGAGTCTTCCTCTACCTTACCAAGCATGATGTCCTTTTCCCGGGACTGGTCCCTCCTGATAATATATCCAAAATATGTGAGATGAAGTCTTACCACCCTTACTTCTAAGGAGCAAGTACTACTTCCAAGAGAAATTTGTTTATTCTTCTGGGAGTCCATGGTACTTTGAATATTCTTCTCCAACACCATAATTCAAATGCATTGATTTTTTCCTGGTCTTTCTTATTCATCCTCTAGCTTTCACATGCATGTGAAGTGATTAGAAAAACCTTGGCTTGGGTCAGGCCCACTTTAGTCCTCAGAGTGACATCTTTGGAAAGTTGGAATTCTTGAAAACAAAGCATCCATTGGCAATATTGCCAGGTGGAAACATCTGGTTTGGAGCCCTTTTGCCAGCTGGGGGAGCTTGGGGAGGTGGAAGTGCATGGGGTTTGACGTCAGAGAACTTGGTTCCCCTCATGACCCTCTGTCTTCGCTTGCAGAGAATGGCGGATGAGGATTACAACACCTCCATCTATGATGATGAGTACTCTGATGATTTCAGCTCCATTGTAGTCTTGGAGGAGGTATCACCCCTCTTGGAAACGAGAGTGGCCAGGATCTTCCTGGTGGTGGTGTACAGCATTATCTGCTTCCTTGGGATCCTGGGCAATGGCTTGGTTATCCTGGTCGCCACCTTCAAGATGAAGAAGTCTGTGAACACTGTCTGGTTCCTCAATCTGGCCGTGGCCGACTTCCTGTTCAATGTCTTCTTGCCTCTCCACATCGCCTATGCTGCCATGGACTACCACTGGGTTTTTGGGACAGCCATGTGCAAGATCAGCAACTTCCTGCTCATCCACAACATGTACACCAGCGTCTTCCTGCTGACTGTCATCAGCTTTGACCGCTGTGTCTCTGTGCTCCTCCCTGTCTGGTCCCAGAACCACCGCAGCATCAGGCTGGCCTACGTGGTGTGCACGGTTATCTGGGTCCTGGCTTTTTTCTTGAGTTCCCCATCCTTCATCTTCCGAGACACCATCAACCAGCATGGGAAAATATCCTGTTTCAACAACTTCAGCCTATCAGCATCCAGCTCTTCCCCACGGCTGGCTCATGCCCCATTGGACCCTGTGGGGTACACCTGGCATGTGGTGGTGACCATCACCCGCTTCCTCTGTGGCTTCCTGGTCCCTGTCTTCATCATCACAGCCTGTTACCTCACCATTGTCTACAAGCTGCGGCGCAACCGCCTGGCCAAGACTAAGAAGCCCTTCAAAATCATCATCACTATCATTATCACCTTCTTTCTCTGCTGGTGCCCCTACCACACACTTGGTCTCTTGGAACTCCACCACACAGCAGTGCCCGGTTCCATCTTCAGCCTGGGTTTGCCCCTGGCCACTGCCATTGCCATCGCCAACAGCTGCATGAACCCCATTCTGTATGTCTTCATGGGTCAAGACTTCAAGAAGTTCAAGGTGGCCCTCTTCTCTCGCCTGGTCAATGCTCTGAGTGAGGACACAGGCCATTCATCCTACCCTAGCCACAGGAGTTTTACCAAGATGTCGTCAATAAATGAGAGGGGCTCCGTGCATGAGCGTGAGACCAGCATGCTTTGAGCCTCACCTAGGAAACCCTCAACGGACACTGGTAACCCAGGATGACCCAAATGGATGGAACCTCTTTGGCACCCACCAGTGACCACTCTATTCTGAGTGAGCACAGGCAAATGTTTTACGCTGGATATCCAGAGCTTGAAACCCCCTTCTTCAAGTAGGGATGGTGGACAAAGCATGTCTTGTTCTCCCAGCCTCAGACCAGTGACCCACATTTCCAAGGAGACAGAACCTTGACCAAGCCAAAGAACAAAGGACAAATTCTCAAGACCACTCCTATGAATTGGGATTGCTGTAAAACACTGTGTTCCCCAGGGATGACTCAACAGTTTACAAGGCCCATGCTTGGTGTTAGCAGAGGAAGTTAGGGAGAACACAGTGATATGGGGAGCTCCCACCCCCATAAAACAAAGCAAAAAACAATTACCATCCAATCCATCCTGACGCATGGTGGCCACATGTGTCTCAGGGTAGGGCTGTCAGTGGCTAAGTCTTTGGAAGTAAATCATCAGGCCTTTTTTGCGAGGTGCTTCTGGTGGACTTGAACCACCAGCTTTTCAGTTAGCAGCCAAGTATATTAAGCATTTACACCACCAAGGAACTCCCTCACCCTCATGTTGTTAAGTGCTATCGAGTTGGTTCTGACCTTTAATGATCCTGTGTAGGGTTCCAGAGGCTGAAAATCTTTATGGGAGCAGAAAGCCTCATCTTTTTCCAGAGGAGCAGCTGGTGGACTCAGACAGCTGACCTTGCAGTTAGCAGCCCGATGTGTAACCCACTACTCCATATACCTGTATTAATAACCAGTCAGAAAAACACCCACAACTGAAGCCGACCCTTTGGCTTAAGCACAATCTATAGGGGGTGTCTGGAAATGCTTAGGCTACCGGCTCCGACTTGAAGGCACTTAACAACAACAACAACCTAGCATCATGGATGAGCTGGGAAGGCAGGGCAGGTTCTGAGGGATGGGGCCCTCTGGGCTTTTAGAGAATGAAGACTTGAGGTCCTTCCTTACAAGGAAGTGCCAGGAAGTAGTGTGCCCTAGAACTTCCCAGAGTGACAGTGGGTCTGCCAAGGGGATGGTTACAGGCCCTCTCTCAGCTTGTCCTTGCTCCCCTGGATTGGACTGTGGCTGGAAGTTTGCACAGCTCCCCTACCACTCACAGCGATTCTTAACCCCTCTCTGGAACCCACTGACCTCTGCCTGGAGCAGCTCAGAATAAAATATTCAGAGTTGGGGGTGGTGGGGGTGCTCCTTAGCTTTCTCCAAGCCTTGCTAGAGACTGCTCAGAAGTGAGGTTCTAGGAAGGTGTTTGTCCAAGGGCTGTGTTGCTGAATTTGAAACTGAGTCCCTGGACTGTGTTACTGAGATGCAGGTAAGGGCTGCGGGGAGGGCACAGGTTGTACTGTGTGCAGCCATGGGCTGGGCCTTTTCTCACCCAGTACCAATACCTCTCTGAGGTAGAGAGTGTCACCATCTCATTCACAAATGAGGAAATGGAAGCACAGAGAAGGGAGGTGACTCGGCCAAGGTCACACAGCTCAACAGTGACAGAGTTAAAATCTGAACCCTGCTCTGCCTGGGTCCAGCAACTCCTTTGTCTTCCTTTACTGAGAGTATTCTGAACTGTAACAATCACCCACATTTATCGAGCACTTTTGATACTAAACATTTTACATGTATTATTATCTCATTTATTCTCTGCAATTGAGTTAGGTACAATTGCTTGGTGGGTGGTGGTGTTGGTTGCCACCCAGCTGATTTTGACTCAAGGCAACCCCTATGGGACCCTCTGTGACCCCATGTGTGTGACCTATCTCCTAAGGCATCTGTGGGTGGATTTGAAATACCACCGTTTCAGCGAGCCACCCAGGGACTCCACTTCCCTTTCATAAATGTATAAGAAAATAAGAGGCTCAGAGAGATTAAGTAACTTGCCCTAGGGCACCCAGCTGGTTCAAAGGCGGGTACAGAGTCAGAGAGAAAGCCAAGAGACTTGAGATTTTAACCATAAATATTGATTCCTTAGCAGATGAATGTGAGAATCTTAATGGCTGTCAAGTCAGCTTTGCTAAGAGTTTTCAATAATGACCCAACATGGCAAAGAAAATGCACTTGGCCTTCAGCTCCCTGGACACCCACCGGCACACAGCGGCTGTGTCCTCCCACCCCTTCAGGGAAGGCAGTGGAGAGAAGCTGGAAAGAAGCCTAGTCCCTTGGGCCCCAAGGAGTTCACACTCTTCTCTTGAAAGGCCCTGCACTGTTAAGCCAAGTTTCCAACAAGATGCAGGACCAGCTGTAATGTCTACACAGGGCCCCCGAGGCTAGGGCCTGTTTGGAATCACACTTCATTAAAAGACAAACTGTTCCTTCTCTTGCTGGTTTTCGACATTGATGAGGATGCTGCTCGGATGTGATCCCAAGCTGGGGCCTCCGACTGCTTCAAGGAATCTGAACTCTTGACAGTTTGCTAGCAAGAGAAAACTTCCAACTTTGCCTGGGGTCCCTGTCAGCCCCCTCCCCAAGCCTGCAGATGAGACAGACATCAGTGACTTAGGCTGGCTAAATTCCAAAAAACCAGTTGCTATAGACCATTCCAACTCACGGTGCCTCCATGTGTGTCGGTGGAGAGCTGTATTCTATAGGATTTTCAATGTATGTAAATTGCCAGGCTTTTCTTCCAATGCACGTCTGAGTTAGCAGCCAAGCGTGTCCACCATTGGCATCACTCGGGGGCTAGTCTACTCCCAGGCTGGTGCTCACCCCTCTGCTTGGTGTCTCCCTCTTCCTGGGCTGCACTGCAGCCAGGCCAGGTGGAGGGAGCCAGGAATTCATCTCTTTGGAAGAACAGATAAACAGGAGCAAATTCAAACCGGCTGCTTTTCTTCTTCCTCCCCAGGGCCAGGCCTCCCTCTTCTTGGTCTGACTGTAGTTTCCCTCTGAGTCCGTAAATGCAAGCATGCTGTCCCCTTCAATCTTGTCCTGATGCCTTCTTGGGAGACCTTTGTCTTAGTCTCCAAGCACTGCCATGATGTGATGTATTATTATCTTACAGTTCTGAAGGCTGTCAGCTGGAACCAGCCTCCTGGTGGTGTTGATTCCTTCTGTGGGCCTCTCCCCTAGTTTCTGGTGGTGGCCAGCAATCCTTGACATTCCTCTGCTGCTTGGAGATGCCTCTGTCTCCAGCAACACACGGGGTCTGTATTCCCCCTGTGTGACACTCCCTTTTTCTAAGACACCACTGAGAAGGAATTAGGACTAGGGGCCACCCTATTCTGATATGATTCCATAGGGGTTGGGACTTCAATATATCTTGCTTGGGGCCCAATTCATAACAACCTTTCATGAGTCTCAATGCAACTGTAGTCTCAATCCCGACAGTTCACAGGTGTGTTGACTTGCATGACTCCTTGAGAAACCCCCTGAGAACCCTCCCTTGGAGACCAGGACTACTGACCAATGAAGCATCAGTATTGCCTTCTGGATGGTGTGGATTGGCTGGGTGGTGGTGGGGAGGAGGGACCCAGACATAAGCAGAGGTACAGAAGAGTGGAAGGAGAAGAGAGGGTGACAGGGCCAAAAGAGAATGGCAGTGAAAGGAAACTGACATTCATTAAGCATCAGGCTCAACATTTCATCCATCACACCTTGAAAACAGCCCTTCAAGATGAAGACCACTGTACTCACGTGGGTGATGCAAAAAGTGAGGTTCTAGGAGTGAATTGTTTAGGGCCACAGAGTGGTAGAGCTGGGGTTTGAACTAGGTCTGCTGCCTGAGTGCACCAGACCTAGCACCACAGTATAGGAGAAAGGTAGTGACTTACCCAAGATAGCAGTATAGTAAGCCATGACTGACAGGAGGCTCAAATTCAGGCTTAGAGTCCCAAGTCTGTGCTCTTCGGCATTGCATCAGCCTACTTGAAGACAGATGTTCCCATTTACATACACATCCACCCACCCATCCACGTACTGCAATACCCACCATGTACCCATCCTCCTATCTACCCATCCATCCATCCATCCACCCATATATTCACTCTCCTATCCATCTTCCCCAGCATCCACACCCATCCTCTCATCCATTTAGCAACCATCCACATATCTATCCATTCACTCACCCATATTTTCATTCATCCATCTAGACCAACATCCACCCACTTTCCACTCATCCATCCACTCACCCATTCTCCATCCATTCACCCCATCCACCCACCTACCCACTCACTCATTCATCCATCCATTCATTCACCTGTATGTACAAATCCATCCCACTACCTGTCTATTAATGTGACTATCTATGAATCTACTTAACCCATCCATTTTAAAAATAAGTATTTAATGCCTACCTACCCTTTGCCAGGAGTCCCGGTGTGGCGCTATGGGTTAATGCACTAGACTGCAAAGCTGTTTGAACTGTAGGGTTGGTGGTTCAAGCTCACCAGCTGCTCCTTGGAAACCCTATTCAGGTTCGTTATGGGTCAGAACTGACTCAATGGCACTTAACATCAATAACCCTTTGCCAGGTTCTGAGGTGGGCACTGGCGATACAAGGATAATCAAAACATTCACAGTCCCTGTAATCATGAGCTCTTTCATTGTCTAGTACAGGGGTGGGGAACCTTTTTTTCTGCCAAAATTTATAATAGCATTTGCGGGCCATACAAAATTATCAACTTAAAAATTAGTCTGTTATATTTCATCAAACATTTAATTAACTCACCCCTAATGTGACTTGGAGTCCTGGTGTGGTGCTGTGGGTTAATGCGCCAGACTGCAAAGCCACTTGAATTACAAGATCGGTGGTTCAAGCTCACCGGTAACTCCTTGGAAACCCTATATAGGGTTGCTATTGGTGGGTACCAACTTGACAGCACTTTACAACAACAACAACAATGTGATTTCTGGAACTGCAGTTGCCTTGCAGGGCCAGACTAAATGATTTCTTGGGCCTCATAGGGCCCACTGGCCGGATGTTTCCCGCCCCTGGTCTAATGGGAGA